TTCTCCTGAAAATCGTATTGACTGTTTGATAAAGGGCTCTTTCCTTTTTTTCTTTTTAAAAAAATTAAATCGCTGACATGTTTTTTTTTTCTCCTAATGCACAACATATGAACCTTACAATATCTGCATTAGTTCAATATTAATTCTTTGAGAGACTGATAAATATTATTACGACATTTTGGATCATGCATTTGGGGCAACAAAAGACCTTTGGCCATAATAAACGTATCCTACATTTTTTTTTCTTATCTAACAGACATAAATCAACTACCGGCAAAATAAAAAAGGAAATTAAATGGTGACTGCACTTAGAAATATTATATCTTTCTGTCAAGCAAAAATGAAACAAAATTTTGTGTGAGTGTGTGTGTGTGTGTAAACGATCGTGTTGTGTGCGTGTGCGTGTAGAGCGTATTAATCGACAACATCCTCTTTAAAAACGCAATCATTTCAGCCATGATATTATGTAAGTTATTTTTTTTTATGGCTGTTTCAGGGTGACACGTGCGGAATGAAAATCCCATAAAGCCAACCAAATATCTCCCGCGCTTTGATGCGTCGACATCAAAGAGCGGTAATTGAATCATTAAAAGTAGGCGGTACGTTTATTATTTGTGTCCAGTCAATTAATTGGTACTTCATACGCAACAAATATGCATGCTTATCGCGCCAGTTGATTGTGCCAGATCGAAAAACAAAACAAATAGCCGTTTTACCACGTCGATTTTTATGACAAAATTAACTTTCATACAAATGTATTTTTCTTTTTTCCTCGGGTGTCACTATATCGAATTTTATTTTATTTTTTTCACTTTGAGAATCGCCGTACCGAAACACCGAACAAGTGTACCCCGGGTTATTGAGGTTCAACCTGTAATGACCTTTTCTGACCTGAGGTTAAAATTGCAGAAGGTCAGATGGGGAAATTGGAGAAGAAAATCTTAAAGATTATTGTCCATGTTCTTTTATTTGTTTCAGCGTTGCAAACTACACTCAACTCACCATGAGGTTTGTTTCAAATGCCATATCCCTTCTGGTTATGGGTCTCGACAGATTTATTTTCTTTATTATCAGGGAATTGACATGACGTCTTGGGAAGGATAGAAGATGGGTGCCAGTTCTACGGTTTCGAATTCAAAGCTGTCTTTATATCTTCAGAAAGGAGTCGATCATTACTCTCCACAGATTCCTTTTCTTTATTATCTGTGAATTGCCATACCTTCTAGGGAACGATATTAGAGTGGTTTACAGTTGCTTTATCCCCGATTTTGAATTCAGAGACATCTCTCTACCTCCTAAATTTGGCGATCACGGCTCTCCACGGGTCCATGTTCCTTATTATCTATGAATTGCCATACCATCTATGGAAACATATTACAGTCGCTTTCAGTTGCTTTATCTTTGTACCGTCGTAATTTTGTCGATCATGGCATCCCAAGTGCCCTTTTCTTTATTTTCTTTGAATTGCCATACCTTCTCAAATAAGTTATTAGAGTGTTTTACAGTTGCTTCATCCCCGGTTTTAAATTCAGAGACGTCTTTCTACCTCGTAAATTTGGCGATCATGGCTCTCCACGCGTCCTTTTCTTTATTTTCTGTGAATTGTCATACCTTCTAGGGAACGATATTAGAGTGGTTTGCAGTTGCTTCATCCCCGCTTTTGAATTCAAAGATGTCTTTCTATCCTCGTAACTTTGGTGATCATGGCTCTCCACGGATCCATATTCTTTATTGCCAGTGAATTACCATGCGATCTTGGGTAAGATATTAATAAAAATTTTGCAGTTACTTTTAAATTTTTTTTGAATTAAAAGCGTTCTTTTTGCGATTGTAATGTTGGCGATCACGACTCTCCAAGCGTCCTTTTCTTTATTTTCTGTGAAGTGCCATACCTTTGAGGGAACGATATTAGAAAGTTCTTAAATTCAGAGAGGTCTTCCTACGCTCGTAACATTGGCGATCATGACACTCCACGGGTCCATATTCTTTATTATCTGTGAATTGCCATACCTTACAGGGAAAGATATTACAGTGGTTTACAGTTGCTTTATCTTCGGTTTTAAATTCAGAGATGTCTCTGTATCCTCGTAACTTTGGCGATCATAGCACTCCACGTGTCCATATCCTTTATCATGTGCAAAATTTTATACATCCAGGGAAAAATATTAGATTGGCTTGCTGTTGCTTTATCCCTGGTTTTGAATTCAAAGATGTCTTTTTACCCTCGTAACGTTGGCGATCATGGCTCTCCACATGTCCATATTCTTTATTATCTGTGAATTGCCATACCTTCTAGGAAAAGATATTAGAGTGGTTTACACTTGCTTCATCCACTGTTTTGAATTCAAAGATGTCTTTCTATCCTCGTAACTTTGGCGATCAGGCTCTCCACGCGTCCATATTCTTTATTATCTGTGAATTTTCATACCTTCTTGGCAAAGATATTAGAGTAGATTTAGTTGCTTTATCCACACTTTTGAATTCAAAGATGTCTTTCTCCCTTCGGAACGTTGACTATCATGAATCTACAAGTTTCTCTTTTCTTTATTTTCTGTGAATTTCCATGCTTTCTTGGGTAATAAAGTGCTTTGCAGCTACCGTTTCCATGAATTTCTTTAATATCTGCGAATTGCTATGACTGACTGTGAAAATCCCCTCAATAATATGGAAAACTGACAAAATCACCTCTGTTATTAGAAAAAGAAATTAAATTTAAGGTCCTAGTTGAATGAATCATACGATGTCAAAATCTTCCATATAACAATAACATGTGTGTGGCACAATTGAGCGAGAGACCAACAAAACCACTTGTAACACTAAAGATGAACTGAAGGCAAGGATTATGCCGACATTTCCGAAGAGTTGCGGGAGATTCCAAAGTCGGCTGGAGGCCGTGGTTGAAGACAATGGCGATTTTATTGAATAAATTTTCTCTTTAATATTCCAAGATACTTTTGTATATTTTTGGTAAATATATTTGTTAATATGCGATGTCAGTTTTATTTCCATTTTTGCATCATTTAGATGACAATTTATACATCGCACATATATAATTATTATTAATAATAATAATAATAATAATAATTTAAGAATATCAAACACTTTAAATCTCATAGGTAAAATTTTCTTTATTTTATGAGAGCTCTAAGAAGTAGCTCTCAATCTTCAAGACTTAAAAAGTCACAAATGAAATGGAAAAATACTCTGGGTTAAAATCAAGATATATTGCTATCTTATTTAGAGAATGGGTGAAGACAGAGTGTGTTGACCTATTTTGTTATACTGACCTCAGATCTAACATTAGTATGTCATTTGAGGAAGGTGGAAGGGCATAAAGTGCAGTTAGTTCAGTAAGAATTGGAAATAATCCTGTCTGGTTCCGATGTCAATATATTTAATTCAACAAATCATTTGCAACTAATATTAAAAGAGAACATTTTTAAAGATTTCGAAATGACCGAAAAAAATCTCATAAGTTTTTTATATAATTAACCAAGAAATTTAAATTAAATTACCTAAGAGAATTGAATTAAATGATTATTAATTATATTCATTTGAGGTCAGTATATCAAAATAAAATACAATTTCTATACACTTAAATGACCCATTAAGTTGTCTGCAGATAAGAAATTTAAATTCCTCTGCCTAAGTCAAATATCAGAACGTATTGATGTAGTCACCTTTTTCCTTTTAAATATTCTTTAAACGTGTTTTAGACATAATTCTAAAAGCAGAACTTGCTTTCTAAATAAGATTCAAGCTCAGCGTTTTTTCTTGTGATTCACTTTTAATGCACATTCCCGTGTATCTATTCCGTAAAAAAAAAATCTGCGTCAAAAGAAGGATTGTTACCATTTTCTTGTCATTCGCAGACATTAAAAAAACAACATCCCTTCTGTCTATGGTAATTGGAATTATGGTCTGCCTGTTGATTTATTCGGTGTAGGGATTATTGCCTCCTGTTTGCCTTCAAAGAGAAACATGTTTTGCAGATTACGGCGTTAGAAATATTTCTTTTGATTTCCTTTTTTTTTTTTTGTAAATATTTCCTTTCTTTTTGTATGTTTTTAATATTGGGGTAGTAATGGTAATATGAATTATCTGCCTTCTTCAAAGATGTAATTCCTTGATTCCGATATGTATTTCAGTTAAATCCTACACCTCTTCAACCAGGAGTTAAAACAGGCCCCCAAAATTTGACGGATGGACAAACAATGAACAAAATGAATAAGAGTAGACGTAAAATAGGATATCTTTCAAATGTGTTGAACCATACTTACGGACGATAATGGGTATGTCCCCATTCACATAAATACAGTAGTAAATACTGTATGTTGGTCTGCAGTCGGAGATTTGTCTCCGGCTGTGATTGACAAACTCTCTGCCTCTGGGCAGAGAGGATCCCTTCATCACGAGCTATGTGGAAGGGCAGAGGAGTCTACCGACAACAGTTTTATAAAAAAACCCTAAAATTTTAGCCAATTACTAGTCAGATACCCCTGGATTAAATTCGACCTTGTGCAGCACCTGATCGCGTGGGGCGGTTTGTACATATCCTGCATTTAGAGACTCGTCTCCAGCTCTGCTGGGCAAACTCTCTGCTTCCGGGCAGAGAGGATCTACAGACGAGGCTATATCGAATAGAAGAATCTCGTCTCGGGAAATTGCTACCCGACCCCGTTATATACGGGGTCTACAGGGAATTTTTGGCCAAGCCTACGGCTCGGATACCTTACATTAAATTCGAACTTGTGTCACGTCTGACCGTGTGGGTGGTTGGCAGATATCCTGCAGTTGGAGATTCATTGTGGAATTCACTTCTTCTACTTCTGCTGGCGAATCTTGTATGTGTTGTTCTTGTCCTAAGTATTATCTTTTATTACCAACATTCGTGGGATTATTCTATTCATTATTCTCTCTCTTGATTGCAACGAAATGTCTATTAGAAATGTACAAAGATATATTGTTCAGAAATTAATAGTTATATTCTAGGGATGGTTTTACGTGTAAAAAAAAGAAGTAAATAGATATAAACGTGCAGATAGATAGATAGATAGATAGATAGATAGATAGATAGATAGATAACAAGAAGCATAGGTAGGTAGATAGATATTAAAAAGCATAGATAGGAAAATAGATAAATAGATATCAACAGTCATGACTAGATAGATAGATAGATAGATAGATAGATAGATAGATTTCCATATTGAGATAGATAAATAGATAGATAGAGAGATAGATAGATGGTTAGCCTGAGATAGTTAGATGACAAGGCTCAGATAGATAGATAGATAGATAGATAGATAGATAGATAGATAGATAGATAGATAGATAGATAGATAAACTGAACTTAACAGACTGAGATAGATAGATAGATAGATAGATAGATAGATAGATAGATAGATAGATAGATTGTGGAACATCCTACCGGCTCCATACTTTCCTGCCAACTTTAATCTCCAAGAATTTAAATGCAATATCAATTCTCTCTTCTCTTTCTATTCATTACTAATGTGTCTGTTCCTGATAACTCCACACCCTGTAACCCCCTTGCGTGCGAGCGGCTGTACTGCCTTGCTTGGGGTGATGCCAATCAAAAACAAAAAATAGATATAAGATACTATGGGTAAATTTTCGTCTAAATTACGCAAAAATGAAAATACCACTCACATCTCATTTTAACAGATATATTTAGCAAAGTTACATATAGATATAGAAAGAGTAATTTTATTCCGTAAAATCGCCATTGGCTTCAACGACGAGCACCCGAAGACTTCGGAATCTCCTGCATCGCTCTGAGCGGGCTCTTTGTTTAAGTTTATGATTGCTGCCATAATACTTACCTTCAGTTCATATTTGGTATTACAACGAGTTAAAAATAAAAACATAAAATAGATAGATATAAACATGCAGATAGAAACATAGATAGGTAGATAGATATTACGAAGCATAGATAGGTAAATAGATATATAGATATCAACACTCATGACTTGCTAACCTGATAGATAAATAGATAGATAGATTTGAAGAGACTGAAATAGATAGATAGATAGATAGATAATGGACAGATAGATAGATAGATAGATAGATAGATCTATAGATAGATAGATAGATAGATAATGAACAGAGATAGATAGATAATGAACATAGATATATATATAGATAGATATGAAGAAACTGAGATAGATAGATCTATAGATAGATAGATAGATAGATAGATAGATAGATAGATCTGAAGAGACTGAAATAGATAGATAGATAGATAGATAGATAATGAACAGACATAGATAGATAGATAGATAGATAGATAATGAACATAGATATATATTAGATAGATATTTTTTATGAAGAAAACTGAGATAGATAGATAGATAGATAGATAGATAGATAAGATAGATAATCTGAAGAGATATATAGATAGATAGATAGATAGATAGATAGATAATGAAATAGAGATAGATAGATAGATAGATAGATAGATAGATAGATAGATAGATAGATAGATCTGAAGAGACTGAGATAGATAGATAGATAGATAGATAGATAGATAGATCTGAAGAGACTGATATAGATAGATAGATAGATAGATAGATAGATAGATAGATAGATAGATGGCCGTAAAGTTGACTCTGTTTCTTTTTTATAAATACTTTCCTTGTAATTGTTTGGATGAGCTCTTTGCTATGGTACCTAGATTGTATGCATTTAAGCGCACTACTTGAGGCGGTGAGATCTCATCAGTTTACAGTTTAATATTAGATATATATATATATTCTATGCTATATACTTGATATTCCCATGTGTAAAGTGCTGCACAGACTGACGATAATCAAAGGGATTACAGTCCGCGGAGTTAGTTGGCCAAATTTAAGAGGTGATGGAGATGCAATTGTCTTTAGCTATGTCGAGTTTCAGCATGGTAAGAGTCCTTTGTTAGAGATAAAAAATTCAGCAGCCATTTAAAACCCATTTTATTACTATTACGCGGCACTTGATGTAGACCACTATAGTGAGTGTGATGCCCTCACCAACAAATTCGGGAGTTCTTTTCTTACCAGAACGATGAGAAAGAGTTTTCCATATCTTCGTAATGACACTTAGACATATCCAACCCTTTCCCAATCTTCTGCGTGCGTGGATTGGTGCAGAGCCCTGTTGCCAGACGTAAGGTCTTCCAGCGTTCAACAGCTTGACTCAGGGCACCATTAACTACCAAGTCACTTGATTCTGAGGCCTTGTGGGAAGATTAATGGAAACATAACCCCACCATCACTAGTGGTCACTCTAAACGCATTCGTAATCGCCATTAAACTCATCCAACTCTTTCTGTATCCTCTGCATTGTCCTTAGATTGACACCCAAACATTCCGAAATGGCGGAGTGAATTGCGTTCTTTTTCTCACTGACGGTTCCCAACTGACCCCACTATACTGTGCAGTCGACAAAATTAAAAACAAACAACACGCATGCGCGAAATTAAAAATAAAAAACGGCAAAAATTTGCCGATCTCACCCTGTATACAAAAAGGGTTACTGTCATTACTCTGTCTCTCCAAACTGTTCAATCCTATTTATTTATACACGAGTCTCCTCTGGGTGTTTCTGTCTCAGCTGTCATCCACCAAACAAATTTCTCTACACACATAAACTCAATTAATATTAACAAAATTAGAAAAGCCAATCTCAAAAAGTAGAACCCAGGTATAACATCTCCTGTACCAATATGAGGGGTCAACGTTCCAAATATCCAGAAGTGGAACTCCATCTTCTTGAGGCCAAATCCGACCTCATATTTTTATCTAAAACAGGTATCAATAGCTCAATCCCACTGCAGAAGCTTTCAATACCGGGATATTCGCACCTAAGAGCCAAATACGAACACCTAAATTGCCACGGCGACGCCTTCGATGAGTACATTAAGGACGTGTTTCCCTGTAGAAGAGAATCTGAACACGAGAACCCTGATATCCCGTATATCTGCCTCCTCATGGCCCTTATCCGCAGTGTCACATCTGTTTTTCGCTCTCTATCGTCTCCAAGACAATGGAACGTTAATATTCGACCAAATATCTAGAAGATTGATAATATCCCCACTGAATGTCCCTCAGCAAGCTTTCATATCTGTGGTGACTTCTGAGATAATACTTAGGTCAAGAACAACAAATACAAGATTCGCTAGCAGCGCGTAGAAGAAGTAGTCAACTATTCGAAGTGACTCAAAGGAATTCCACAATGAATCTCCAACTGCAAGATCTCCACCAACCGCCCCACGCGGTCGGACGAGGCACAAGTCCGAATTTAATGTGGGGTATCCGAGCCCGTGGGCTCGGCCAAAAATTACTCGCAGACCACGTATAAAACGGAGTCGGGTAGCTGTTTCCCGAGACGAGACTCTGCCCTTCGACATAGCCGCGTTTGGGGATCCGCTATGCCCGGAGGCAGAGAGTTTGACGAATCTCCAACTGCAGACCAACATATAGTATTTACTACTGTATTTATGTAAATAGGGACGTACCCATTATCTGTTTTTTTTTAATCTAATTTATTTTCTATTGTTATTGTTGTTAATAATATTACCTTCTTTAGGTGTATGCCTTTCTTTAAGCATTGTGGATGAACAAATGAGAATATTAGAGTTATTTGAAAGTACTTTCTTGTGTAGTTATTCATATCGTCCTTTTAAGGGAAGCAAGTAAGAGGAAGAGAGTTCCACAGATGGGAATTGCGCGATATGAAGCTACTGCAGTAGAAGATGCTGCAGTGAATTGGAACATATCGATTATCGTCCGTAGGTATGCTAGAACAAATGGTAGATCAGGGAATGCATTTAGTTTGGCATCGATTTGGACACTACTAGGGATTAGTCTGAGAGGATTCTTAATATACCCACTGAATGTCCCTTAGCTAGCTTTCATATCTGTGGTGACTTCAATATTCACCACAAAGAATGGTTAATTCACTCGAACAAAACCAATGAAGAAAGCAGATATTGCAGAGAATTCAGTACCTCCTGAGAACTAGCAAAGATCATTGAAGAACCCACCGGCCTTGCTAACGTGAAAGGACAACAGGCGAACCTCCTTGAAATATTCATTAGATTCTGTCCTGAAAAATTCTCCGCCAAAGTTTGTCCCCATAATCCCACCCCAGGCACATCAGACCAATCCCTACTAGGTGTCAAAATCGATGCCAAACCAAATGCATTTACCATTTGTTCTAGCATACCTACAGACGATAATCGATATGATGATTTACAATAAATAGATCTTTTTAAAACTGTATGTTGGTCTGCAGTTGGAGATTCGTCTTCAACTGTGCTGGTCAAACTCTCTGCCTCCGGGCAGAGGATCCCCAGACGAGGCCATGTCGAAGAGCAGAGTCTCGTCTCGAAAAAACAAGAAAATTTCTATGTTTTATACGTGGTCTGTGGAATTTTTGCCGAGCCTACGGGCTCGGATGCCCCAGATTAAATTCGGCTTTGTCTGACCGCGTGGTGGGGTTGGTAGATATCCTGCAGTTGGAGATTCGTCTCCAGCCGTGCTGGTCAAACTCTCTACCTCCGGGCATAGAAGATCCCCAGACGTGGCTATGTTGAATGGTAGAGTTAAATAAACGACTGCTTTGTTTAACTGCTGTAAACTGACTGAATAAATAACCACTTTGGTCACTGTATAAAGTGACATGATTACGTGGCCGTCTATGTGACCCACGTAACTATCTCGATCGAAGGGAAATAATCGCCTTTGTATCGTTACAGCTTAATGTTTATATTATATATAAGGACATGCCCTCGCATATTTTGGCGGTCAAACATGATCCAGAGTTTAGAAAATCTTCAGTGAATCGTAAAATAGAAATGCAGTAAAACTAAGGCATTATTTAAGAAAAAAAAGCCTTTTAATTGCTTTTATGTATAAAATATATTATTGACAATATTGTCTTAAAAACATTATTTTTCCATGAATAATGAATTTTTACAACAATTGTTTTCTTTTTTTTTCAATTTTAATTATAATAATTTATAAAGTTTTAAATCTTTTAAAGTTTTGTGTTAATTGTAACGGTCAAGTTTTATTTTATTAAATTATTTTTATTAAAATAATTAAAATATATATATTTATATAAATATATATATATATATATATATATATATATCGGTAAATGTCGTTAATACTGTTTATTATAAGCTGAGCATTTACTTAAATAGTTGTATCTATAAAAAGAACGTATAAACATAAAAAATGTCTTGATATATATAAATAATTTCAAATTTATTTCGTGGACCTGTAAAGGTGTCGATTTTTGTAAATACAGATGTCCAAACACGAAATTATCAGAAATTTAAGCGTTTACTATATTAAAAAAATAAATTTTATTCGCAATTTTCTTAATATTTCCTTAAAAATCTTCTTCATAAGTTAACCTAAAAGCCAAAATACCTAAAATTCAATAACATAACAAAATTGCTTATAATATTTTCTTCAACTCTTAATATTACTGTGTAGTTAAAGTAAAAAGAATATGTATATAAAAAAAAACGTTCAAGTTGTATTCGTCAAATAATTCTTACAGTTATGTCTCGCTGAGAAAAAATTCCCAAAAATATGTATATCGGAAAAGTTGTCAACACCTCATAAATCACCCACTTCCGTATTTTCCGCGATATTTTAACCTATTTTGAATCGGCTAAACGTCTTCAAATAAAGTATCAGAAATGTATTGTTTTATTAAAGATTTTTTTAATAAAGAAAATTAGGTTGATAGATGTGCGAACGCATTCCAGCCAATTTAAATTCAGTTTGAAATAGAGCAAAGTATTTCGAAATATTAAATTTAATCTATTAGCAGGGGATTAGAGCTGAAATAAAAGCTTCGAGAAGGGTTTTTCATTTATAAAATGCATTTTTTAAACCATAGCTATTTTAAAACGGTAGGCTTTTCTCTTTAGATAACCATATATATATATATATATATATATATATATATATATATATATATATATATATAGATATAGATAGATATGCATATAACCGATATATATATATATATATATATATATATATATATATATATATATATATATATGGGAGAGAGTCTGTGTGTGTGCATTTTTGCGGTCAAATCACGATGAACATAACAAAAATCGTTCGATCACCGAAGTTAAGCACTTAGATCGGGGACCGCTTCAAACACCTGGTACTGTAAGCCCTATGGGCTCGTGGCCGAGTGGTTAGGACGTTTCTGACCATAAGACCCCGGTTCGAATCTCATCATGGTCGAATTGTCAGGACGGCGACTTCGAGGTCGATCACGACGGGCGGCACCTTTCGAAATGCCTGAAAACTATACCACGGTTTGACCCAGCCCTTGTGAGTGAAATTGGTTAAACGGAACTCTTGTGGACCGTCGATAGCAGATAAAATTTTAAGACGAATCGTGGCCGAGAGCATGAGTATGGTGGCCTTGTTCAAATTGTTGATCAGGCGAGATAGCTACTCTCTCCCAGAAACCGTAACTAAAGGTCTGTTCAGCATAGTTGCAGTATGAACCACAGGTGGGATCTATATATATGTTGAATAAACACAAATGTACCTGAGCAAGCGTCTGCACATTAGAGATTACAGCCACTATAGTATACTGGTATCCTCGAATACGAGTGACCAGCTATTATATATATATATATATATATATATATATATATATATATGTGTGTGTGTGTGTGTGTGTGTATATTTGGCTGTGTATAATTATTTTTTATAAAATACTTTTATATATATATATACATATTTATATATATATATATTTGTGCATGTTTCCTGTTCAATAATTTTAAATCGTCGAAATTTTTAAATTGACTGACATCTCTTATTTCAAACATATATATATATATATATATATATATATATATTTATATTGTTTCTTTTAAAATATTCCATAATATAATATACATATATATAATATATAATATATATATATATATATATGTCCTTCTTTCCCCCATTAAAACGCCGCTAGTTTTATATGTTAATTATTGACATTATATTAACATTAAAACAGCATAATTGCATATTAAGATTTTTGTTTGTTTTTTTCCGTTAACGTTTTTTTAACATAAAATCAGATCTATATCCATATATTTGTTTATATATATATATATATATATATATATATATATATATATATATATATATATATATGTGTAATATATGTGTGTGTGTGTGTGTGTGTGTGTTGTCGTTTCTGTTTATACTTTATTTGGTAATTAAAATCAGATGAATATTGATAGTACCTAGACGTTTTTATTTAAAAATATATCGATTAATATATATTTATATATTTATAATTTCGATGTAAATATAAGTTCTATGCTAACAATTTCTTCTCTCCACTTAGTATTCTGAAATACCCTTAGATAAATCGCCATGCATTCCAGCCATCTTTAATCTGCAAAAAATTAAATGCAATGGTTTATACTGTCCTCCTGATTAACATTCGACTTCCTGTTAATTAATTTGCTTTGTTCCTAAAATTTTTATAACC